GTAGTGAAATCGTCTGATTAAGCAACATCTTTTGGACATTGATATTGCTACGTCATATGGTTTCGAGCAAAGTTTTTCTTAAGCATCAGTTAATTAACTCTTCTTCTACCATTGAAGCTCACTATTATTATCCTGATTCGCTCTTTTCAATCAGTTTATCCAATGGCTATCGTTGGTTTTCGAATTCTGTCAGTCTTTTTGAACTTACAATCCTCTTTCCAGCTAGGGTTAATGTCAGGTGCATAAATAACTCCGTTCCGAATTGATTAAGTCAATCAGTTTGGAAAAAATACTTTGATGACGGCAAGCTCGAACCCTTCAAAAGCTGGTTTTGATGTGATCTATTCAGATTCGCCAGAATCGATGATTCAGATGCGCTACTTCTTTAAGGTACTCGCAAACGCTCGTCAATTACTGTTGATGACAAAAGGTGGTAATGGAGTGATTTTGTCGAGTGGAGCTGATGAAATCATTGACTTGCGGGCACCGTACGACGCGATTAATATGTGCATTTTGTTTGGGGCAAGACGTGAGGAGTCGAGGAAATTCATTGCTGGTTTGTTGCTTCTGTTTTGTGATCGTGTTTGTGATGGATTCGTTCGAGTAGCAACATTAATGTGCTTTTTATCTTAAACTGCCTCATTTTAATGTTCGATAATATCGATCTTTTGCGATTCTAAGCAAATCTTCGGAATCTTTTTCATAGTTCAGATTTGAATGCTTTCAATCATATAGCTAGTTTGCCAAGAGCACAATGAAGTTTTGTGCTCGATTCATTCGTCGTTTCATTCGTTTGATACAAATGAATTTGGTGGAAGTTTTTATTGAATTATTCTCATTCATCCTCTCAGTTAGTTATGTTTAGAAATTAAATCTGACCAATAGTAACTGCAAATGAATGGTGATGTGAGCAAAATGATTTCTGTACTGAATATGTTTATATTATAGGTAATGCAAGAAAGGTATTACTGAGAGCCGAATCTCGTAAAACGGTGAAGGGTGCTGTGTTGATTAGCAGTGTCAACGAGATAACCAGCAAACTGAACGATCACCAAAAAGAACTGAAGAAATTGTTATCGATACCTGAATTTAATGCCCAGTTCGAGATTGCCAACGAAGAAGACACTGAATCGGCTAATGAAGACGCCACTAATAATGTTGATTCACATCCGTCTGAAAGTGCACAAAAATCATCTGAGATTCCTGAATCACAGTCATCTCTTGATTGTAGCTGAACCGTCCGTATCACTCTCGAGCTGATTTGTTATGATTATGGCTTTATTTGCGTTGCTGATGATATGATCGTTATTGTTACTGTCATTGTTATTGTGTGAAAACTAATTGTCCTCATTGATGTTTTGCTACTGAAAATTGTGTTACATATCATTCAAGTTGTTATTGTGCATGATCTTAAATGTTTATCTTGTTTTTTGAGTGTTTTTGGTCGTTGATTTAAATCGTTAAAACATTTTCTCGTTGTTTATTTCGCAGAATATATTTTGCTGTTTATTTTCATGTTTTCAAACAAAAATTTTATATCTTTTAGTGTTTTTACATTCCTAGTCAATGCTATTTGCTGAATTACAGTTGAATTTCATTCATAATGCTCTTTCAAATCACAAGCTTTAATCAGCACTGAATCGCACGCTATCAACACACTCACCAATGATCGATTTGGTACGGAACAGCTGGCGAAGTGCTTTATGGAAAATTAAGCGACTTCTACGGGTGAAAAATCCTAGCTGGCCTGTTATTTGGAGTTAGTGGTTCATAATATTTGTATATCGTCTCAACTTTCAGCTGGTTTTTCTTAAAGTTTCATCGTTATAAAATAATAACTGGAAATTAGATTTGAATATCGCAAAGAGCATTTTCGGAAAATTTATCCACATAATAGGATTTCTCAGTGATTTCACATCAATATAAGCAGCAAATCTAGATCTGTGATTCATTTATATCATTTTTTGCTTTTATATGCACAAAATAAGTCGGTCATTCATAGAGATATAATGCACGACGTTCTGTGAATTAAAACTTTATCATGCAACAGTTTGCTGAAATCTTGATGCGTGTCATCATGTTGTTCGTCTCATTCCTAATATGACGTCGTTTTACAGCATCACCGAGGTTGTCTTCCAGACCATCAACTAGCTTCGTTGAAAGCTTAAGTAGCGACGAGAGAGCCAAATTAGTTGGTGTTGTTCGTGAAATTGAGGTTCCTTTCGATATCTCTGCGTTTACTCATTCATATTAATAATCGTGATGCAGTTCAATGAAGTGCAACCAACATTCATACATTCTAATCGCTGACTTCCCAATAAATGCATCCGTTTCTGTGTAATTGACAATCAGCATTTAAAATGGAATCATAAATTTATCACCACCAATCAATCGTACAACTGTTTTATTGTCGAAATTTGAGAAGATAGGCGACTCGCTGAATGTAAATGACAAACAAATCGCCTGGTTTTTGCTGCTCCTATGATCTTGTGGGCTATCAGTAGATAATTTTGCCAGCCTTGATAATTACTGTGCTAGCCAGTGAATTTTCTTGAGTATGTTAGAACAGAGAAATGAAAAAAACGATTGATCACCCGAGAAAGTTATTCGGAGATTCATGGTATTATTCTGCGAAGGGTTTTTCTGTCCAATCATGGAAGGAAGGAAGAAGTAGAAGGAAAAAATTTGTAAGATCCGAAAATAGAGTTGAATTTGAACTTGATGGATGATAAAGAAAAGCTACTGTTCAGATGTTGTCGTGTTGTTACAATTATTTCCCGAAGACAATTCGCGATGATGACTGGAGCAAGTTATTGAAGTGTACAACGCTCAAAGAGCGTCTCCACCAAATCAAGTTCTATCGTTTAAAAGAAGACAAATCCAAGAAAGACGCAATCAAAAAACAAGTCAAAATGTCTCTAAAAGATGACAAACTTCATTCACCAACAGCAGATCACCTCACAACAACAACTCACAATTGCAATCAGCCATTTCTTTTGCCTGCATCAAAATTAAGTCAGTTTTTACGTTCAATATGTTTTTGACATTTATTTTGCCAGTTCAGTGATCAGTTTCTTCACGAATTTGTTGATCGCTGATTTCCGTATAAAGTTGAAGAAGATTAGAATCCTTACTTGCTTTTCTACGATTGAGATGTACACTTTTGAATTTAGCATATTGTTTCATGGCTTTTCTTATTGATCTTGTGTTAGTATACGTGCTACATTACAATGATAACAGTAATAGTACTGAAGGCAGCAATTATGATAGAAGAAATATGCCGAGTGGATGAAATGATAAAGCCAATAAGAGCAGTAACTCTTGAACTCAGGAGCTCAGAAATGAACCATAAAACAATAAGAATGCCAATGACAATTGTGCAGTAATTCTCTGGTGGCAGATGTTAAACTGACTAAGAATTGGTGTTATCTTTAAGGGTCTAATCAAATGAAATTGCAGAACGTTGCCTTGATCAGTTGCAATCGCAACGTTACATAACATCTCTATTACTCGACCCAAATCCATGCCTGGTCGTCGATTGTCAGTTTTTGGAGTGTTTATCGATACGAGGTCTGAACCTGACATTTCTGCAACTGAAATATCT